CCCCACCCCCTCGCCCCCGCCAAACTCTTTTGGTTTGGATTTTCTTCCTGCAGAACTTTCCTGGCTGCAGAATTCTGACATTTTATTTGGAAATAGTTTGGCCATAGACAAATAGTTACTTTTTCTCTTACAAAGTCTGTCATACAGGCCCAGTCAACTCAAGAGCTGATTTATTAACACAATGTAATGGTAAATAATAAAAACATTGTTAGGTTTCTTTAATATTTGCCAGTTCTTTCAATATATCCCTTGTGTTCTGTTATATATAATGAAATCCACAATAAATGTATTTGTGCCACCCATACTCTTTTTCAGAACTCCACGCTTCACCTTCCTTTTATAAAAAAATAACAAACAGATTTTTTTAGTGTAAGACACTTTAACAACTTAACCATCTGTATTTTTTAGCTGGAAAAAAAATCTGAAATAGTGTGGCAATATTTGGAAAATAGCACAGTTGGATTTATTCTTCTTTGTCTTCAGGTTGCATGAAGAAGAGAGAACTTTGAAAGCATTGTCTTCAGCCAAGAGTTCTGAAAGTATTATGACTGACAAGTCCCAGGCACAAGAAACTGCCCATAAAACACAAGTATTTACTGAAGCATCTTGTATGGAAAGTGAAGAAAGAACTCTGATAGAGAAGATGTTTGGAGGAAAATTGAAGACTAACATATGCTGTTTGAACTGCAAAAGTATGTCTCAAAAGGAAGAAGCTTTCACAGATCTCTCTTTGGCTTTCTGTCCCCCAACTTCCTTAGAGAATGTTGACCCAAAATGCATAGAACATTCTGAAGTGAAAGATGACTACATGGTGCAAAGTAATACTTCAGCAACCAGTCCTGTTGCAGAAACACCTCTCAGTAATTTGGAAGTAAGTCATGGATGTGACACAATAATGAATGAAGGAACCATAGAAGATCTTTCTAGTGAGCCAAGCTCTGAGAATACCACAATTTCTGAACTCAAAGTTGAAAATAATGGGGATGTGTCTCAGAGTCTAGTAGGTAAAAATACCCTGTCAGTTACAGACTTACTCAATTATTTTCTGGCACCTGAGATCCTTAGTGGAGACAACAAATATTATTGTGAAAAGTGTGCCTCTCTACAGAATGCTGAAAAAACTATGCAAATCATTGAGGAACCTGAATACCTCATTCTCACTCTTTTGAGATTTTCATATGATCCAAAGTGTCACATAAGGCGCAAAATCTTGGACAATGTTTCTCTACCACTTGTATTGGAACTGCCGGTGAAAAGAGCAACATCCCCTTTAGCCGTCGTTTCGGGAGGCTGGTCTGTTGGTGTGGAGATTTCTGATACTGGAGAAAACCTTGCTAAAAAACTGAAGCCCTCTGATGCTGATGAAGTGATCTGCCCACAATTGGTGCCCTATGTGTTGAGCTCTGTGGTGGTGCATTCTGGGGTATCCTCTGAAAGTGGACATTATTATTCATATGCTAGAAATGTTACTGGGTCAGGGCCTTCAGGGCTCTGCCACCAGTCTACAGCTCTTTCATTAGTTTCTCCTCAGGATAAGTTGTTTACAGAGGAGAGTCCTTGTACTGTTGTAGAAAATGAGCTGGACACTGAAATGCCAAGAGAATGGTGTCTGTTCAATGACAGCAGAGTGACATTTACCTCATTTCAGTCAGTCCAGAAAATCACTAGTAGATTTCCAAAGGACACTGCTTATGTTCTGTTTTACAAAAAACAGAACAGCACCTGTGGCTTCAACACCAATCCAGCAAATGGCCTCTGGGTAAATGGAGACCCTCCTCTACAAAAAGAACTCATGGATGCAATTACAAAAGATAACAAACTGTACTTGCAGGTAAGATGGAAATTTTGTGTAAAGGGTGTCTCCTTAAGCCTCACAAGAGGTGGTCTAAAGGAAAGAACAAGGTAGCTTTTAAGCATTCTGCTATATTAACCTTACAAATCACCAGTCTGGCTTCATCTTGGTTTTGCTGGACAGCTTTTGCAGTAAGTTTGTCACTGTTAGATGGGAAATGTCAAGGAAAATTGCATAAACTCATTTCAGTTTAAACTTTGAGTGGAGATGCTTGTACAGCATCTTTTAACCACTTCTCATTCCATATGGGAGAGGCTTCAAACAGTTCAAACTTTTCTTTGCCTTTAGGAAATTACAAGAGTGGCTTAAGTTTACTTAAAAACTTCTAAGCGATGTTCTTACTAGTGCATTTTCATTTGTAGTAAAGTTTGACTTACAAAACTGTGCTTACTCAAATGCTGGAACAACTAAAATGATGACCAAATGTGGGGGACTGGATTCCAATTTCCCTTTGCTGCCTATGCCATATCCTCTCTGGGACCAGTGCTTCCAGCAGCACACTCCCTGTGTTCTGAGAACTTCACCTAGCTGTGGCAGCCTTTTTGTTTGCTGTTAAAAAAACCCAGTGTTCTCCACACTTCGATATGTGTTTCTTAGAGCACTGCTGCTTTCTTTTGACGTTCTAGGAGTAAAAGTATGCTTCACTGTGTGCTCTTTGTCCTATAAGGGCTCTAGGCTAACTCAAATTAGAAGAACTAGGTAAATTGAACATTTTTATAGTGTTTTATTAATCTCAAAGTTTCTGAGCTCCTGATCTTTTCTCATTTTAATTGAGGCTCATTACAAGTGCTTGGTTATTGTTTTTCTGAAATTATTGCAAATACCGTGATTCACTGAATTAGATTATTCTAATTTTAAGATGCCATATTTTACTGTTGGTTCAGAGTTCTAAATTAATGTTTTTCAGATAAGTTAAGAATATATGTTTCTGTCCTGAGAAAGCCTTTAATTTTCAGAAGATATGTTCAAAAAATTCTGTATCTTACTGCTTTTGTTTTGCTATTGCATATCTGTTTACCACATGGTAAATGAAGATGTTTTCAGTATAAATAACTAAACCTGCAATATGGGTAGCTCCCACTCTATTTAAAACAAATTTTAAAACCCTTACTGTGAATAAATGGAAAGCAAGGGGGGATGCTCTGCATTATTCTGAGTCCAGAAAACTGTATTGACTATCAAGTTTCACTTACCTAATGTAGTACTTGTGGGGATAAATATAACAGCCTGAAAACATTATATGTTTTTAGAAATAAAGCTATTACTTGTAAAAATGCCAGTGCTATAAGGTAAACAGTTTGGTAGTGTAGTTTTTTGAACTAAATAGGCTATTTATGCAAGGTCTGCTATTTAAATCAAAATCTGTGGTTGATTTCTGTTACTACAAGTTTTTAATATTTCCTTGTTATTGCTAGTAAATGTACATAGTTTTTGGTGTGTCATAGAGTTAGCCAGATACTTACAACTCTACATATTGCTGGAGATAGCATAATACTGTCTTCAGGAGTATGGCTAGCACATCTGTGTAGATGCCGTCCTCCAAATATCTTAATTTTGAAAATGAGTATACATTTCAGTCCTTAATAGTGTACACTAGTTTCAGACTTAGGCTGTGTTTTTGAAAAGGGCAAAATAATTTAAATTTGCAAGGTCTGCTTTTAGCATCTGTGAAAGTATTTGGACAAAACATCCATTTAGTGGTTTCATGGTAGTGTAATACAGTCAGGGAGAATTGAAGGTGACCCCTGTAGTTACTGAAACCCCGTTCTAAAGTTTGCTCGCATTGCCTTTAGGGAGGTGTGTGGTGATGAAGTGTCATGTGAAGGCAGCTATCAGTATGAGCCTTAGCATTGGAATAATTTCAGTTTGTTGCCAGCTCCACTGTCTTTTCCTGTTAGCCTTCCAGAGCCAACGTCTGCCTTCTCTCCCTCAATTTTTGAAGTTATTGGCCAGTTTGAGAAAGGTATACTAAAGAAAGAAAATTGCTGCAGAGTTTATTGAACTAGTTGGCCAGCGACGAAATAGTGCATGATATGTCTAATGAGGGAAAAGCATGTGCTCATCCCCTTCTTAGATGTCTTAAGAAGCCTCAGGAGCATTCAGCTGAAAAAGCAGCTGGCAGGCAGCAGAGCTTTCATGTTCCTTCCACTTGTGCAGGTACATTTCCAGCAGTTAACTCTTGATTTTTATGAAGTGCTTGAGACTTGCAGAGACTTGCTACATTATAACAGTTAACATAGCAATAATAATTGAAAGCTGAATAGCTGCAGTGAATAGAAACTAGATAGCTTGTCCATCCTTTGGCCTTTTATTGGAGTATATTGTTAGTCTATGCAGTTGTAACATTCCACTCTGTGGAGTGGAATGAAGAAGCGTCTTTAAAGTAATGAATATTGATATAAAGGTTTTATCTTTTGACTTTGCAACCAAGAGCATATGAAAATTGCTAGGATGAAAATTTATATGAAACATGTATCAAAACCTGTTTTGTTAACTTCTCATCAGCAGTCTCATTTTTTAGTGACATCCCATATTGCTATAAAATACAATTTTAGCATGAACTCAGATGGATTTAATTTTGTTTCACTTACAGTTACTGACAGTCAGTGAAATTGTACATCTTAGGTTGGCTGTGGATGTTCAACTTGAAAGTTCAGCATAGCTGTTCACTAGAAATTAGTGATGCTGTTTTAAAAGCTATTTCAAGGGCATGAGATGGTGGGGTTTTTTTTTTTAATTGTCTTTATTCTTTCATTTCAGGAGCAAGAGCTTAGTGCTCGAACACAAGCACTTCAAGCTGCCTCGGCCTCTTGCTCTTTCCGACCCAATGGATTTGATGACAATGATCCCCCAGGAAGCTGTGGGCCTGCAGGTGGAGGAGGAGGGGGTGGGTTCAGTACTGTTGGTAGATTGGTCTTTTGACTATGAACACAACCTGGAATACACTGGTTCCAAGGCAGCCTAGTACTGCTGAGGACAAATAAAATACTGAACTCTGTCAGAGTTGTACCAGGCTTTGAGACTTGATCCTTGTCCAAAAGCAAATATGAGTGTTTTTTTGGTTATAATTTATTTGAAATAAATAATTACATAATGGAAAAAAACCTACCTCTTAAAAGTTCAGTTGCTTTCATAGTAAGATATGCTTGCCCAAAAACCAGAAAATTAAGGTTTTTTTTAAGTAAATGCTAATGACGTTGCATTAAACTGAACAAAATGTACTTAGATTAGTTTCTCTTGTCCTCATACACTGAATGAAGAAATTTTTTTTTTTTTTTGTCTGCAGAAGCTCACAATAATTCTGCCTAAGGAGCGGTGTTTGATTGCTCTTAGGCTAGCGGAGGTTGAGGATTCACTCCTTTGAGGCTTGACAGCAATAGCAACTTTGATTTTGATGTGCAATGAGGATAACAGAAGTAAAAGACTTAGACTGTTGAACCCAGTGATTAATTCTTGAGTAATCTTAGAGTGAAGTGTAAATTTATTTAAAGTATTTTTACAAAATTCTGCACTGTTTTTGCTGTGTTTTTATACTCTATTAGGTGACAAAGTATGTCCCTAAAAAGCATGTGGAGGTTTTAGCATTACTGTGTAAAAATAAGCAAAGTTCTTTAAAACTGCTTTAAAAAAAGCCTAAGATCTGTTGAGAGAATTAAGTCTTGTTCATATGATTTTAAATATATGGAGTTTAGTCTGAAAGGTAATTTGGCTTGCAAGCTATTTTTATGTTATCACTAAAACTATGCGATTTACTATATGTTCAGATGTTATACACAAGCAAGCTAGAGCAGCTCACTTTGATTTTATTTTTTTTTAATACTTTCCAAGGTTTCTTGTGACAGTTTGTGATACCTTGGCTTTGGCCTACTCTTTTCATTGCTATCTCAGCGGTAGGTCTCTGAACCAGAGGTTCAGCCACAGAAACATGGAATGTTTTGAGACCAGCATGAGGAACATTCTCATTTCATTGCATTTAGATGAGGTTTTTTTAGAAAGTTCACTTTGTTTTGAAATTCTGTAACTTAGTCTAAGAGGGTTCTTTATTTCCTTTTAGGCTTCTCTGCCAGTTTGCTTTGGCTTGAAAATGTTTTATAAGACAGGTTAATTTGGCTTCTGTCTCCCAGATTGTGAACACACTAAAAAGCTGTGTACTCATTGCATTACCTTGGGAATATTTTGTCTCTGTATCAATTTACTGTTCATTTTAAACTATGAGTAAGTAGAATCAGGGGCAAGTGGTTTTACTTTATATGAAATCATAATTTTGTAAAGGTCAGTTTTGTTTTTATGTTCTTACAGTAAAAATACAAATTATGCAGCCTACCTAAAAATAATATGCAGTATGTCTTTTGTATACGTGTTGAACTATATTTATTTCTTGAGCTCTTAGAAGGCTTTCTACACCCTTTTTGCATATTCTAAATTAGGTGTTAAATATGGAAAATTTACATGAGAATAATGCAAATCAGGTTGAATCTGCTTAGGTGCAAAATGATGGATGTCTGAAACTGAAAATAACTTCTTTCTTTCACCTTGTTGACTTCTGTCAATGCATTTGCTTGGGGTTTTAAAAGTAGACTTTAAAATTCAGGTTACCTTTTCGTAAGTCTGCTTCCTGACTTGACAGCTGTCCTAGGCTGGTGATTCATAGATACCCAACTTGGAAGGTTTCAGTAAACCTAGTGGAAGTGAAGAATTACTTCACGCTTTGAAATGTGCACCTTTTTTATTGTTTACAGTAATGGTGTTGCATGCCACTATCTTCTGGACATGAAAGAAAAATGTACATATGGTACTTTGATTTCTGTTGCTTGTGAATGAATGCTGGATGGTTTATTTATTTACCTTTTTGGCTCCATTCTTAGTAAGTTTATTAAGTTGAATCAATAGAAAGATACAAAATGCATAAGACCATTTCAGAAGCTTTGGCGTTTTTGTTCTTTACTTTCATGAAAGAGACACAGTTGTACCACTCAAGGGTGGTATGTCTTAAAATCGTATTTGCTTCTACCGTGACAGACTGTGATTTGGTCTTTGTTTTAATGGTCACTGGAGTTGTATTAACTTTCTTTTGTGCTGTTAATTTTTTACAGTTTTTTCATGTGGAGCATCACAGTGGATTACTGTGAACAGTCTCCCCTGTAACAAGTGATTACAATGTCTATGAGCCCATTTATCCAGGATGAGAAGAGGCTTCTTTGAATAACTGAACAAATCACACTTTCTGGCTAGCTGTTTTTCTTTTTTTTTTTTTTTTTTTCCTCTGTGTTCCCTTCTTTGGAAAGTTGAATATTTTATCTTCTCTGTGCTCTGGAAGTTTAATTTCATGGGTAAGCCTTAATTTATTTTTTTTTTTAATCTGTCGCAATAAGTTTGTTCATTGAATCAGAACACTTTTTCTGTACAAGTGACAGGCAAAGGGCAAAAGCTCTGGGAGATGAGAGTGTTGAAACAAAATCAAGTGGGTATAAACATTCTGTAAATAAAATTTAGATTAGAAACAAAGTTCCTAATTCTGGAACAACCTTCTGGGCAGAGCCTTGATTCAAATGAAGAGAACTATGGCTGTGAAAGAAATTAAATGCAAAGTGGTATCTGAATAGTAGGCAACTAGACCTGATAAACCAGAGGTCCTCTCCAGTCCCTTCCTAGAGTTTTGCTTTTTTGTTGGGTTTCCTGTCTTGCCTCATTGCCAGTTTTGTTTTTAAGGCTTAAAGATTTGAGGGTAAATAAAGAGTGATATAACAACAAAAGTTAACTGCTCAATTTTGGGTGGTGTTGGTTTCTGATATAGGGGAATGAAGCATAAAAATTGCCAAGTCATGGCAAGTGGTAGCTTGGAGGAGTTGTGATCTAAAGAAATGTACTCAGTTTTTAACACAAGGGTGATTTCCCTGGGTAACAACCTACAATGAGATGTAATGAGTTGTAGCACTTGGTATCTTCAGTAGGCTGTAATCAAATGGAAATTATTGGACATTGTCAAGGGTGAGCAAATGATCTATTATGTAAATGAGATCAGAATACACAATCTGCACAATCTGCAGCCAGTCATCATAGGTCTACCTAAATCTGAATTCAGAGCTATGAGTAATATGTTGTTAAATCGCAGAGGTGTGGGGTCAAATGTGACAGAGAACCAAGAATTGTGTGGTGCTGGCTGGGTTGTGTCTGACACAAGCTCTGCCTGTGGGGTGTAGTGTAAGCACTGTCTCACCAGACAAGCTTTTGTGTTACAATGTACACACACAATTCACTGGGAATCTGCTTTTGCTTGAATTAAAGCATCCAAATCAAAGGCACAACAACCAAAACTACCCAGACTGAAGCACGGATTAATGTTTTTTAATACAATATGCACCCCTTCTTATTTAAAATTGAATATCTTCTTAATCTGCAAGATTCTAGGTAGGAATGTGGATTCAGGATACACATTTCTTGTTCCCTTTTTTTTTTTTTTTTTCCAGTGCAGATAATATTTTTAGGAATTGGGTGTAAAAGTGCTTAAATAGACACATCAGAAGACACAACACAGGAAAGAGGGACAGTGGGTGGTGAAGGAGAAGAGCTGGAACTGAACTGAAATGGGACAAATGCAGAAAGGACAGCATGGCTCTGTTCTGATTTAAAAGTTGCACATGTTCCACCAAAGGATACTTTGTCAATAATACCTTGTGTTATCTGAGCCTGATTCTTTAGAAGTTTCCACTGTATCATTATATCCATTTATATTTTGAAGGAGAAATATCTCAGTTGGCATATGGAAAGTATGCTGCTGCGGAGTGTATTTCAGGTTGACTTTAAAAAAGGAATTCAGCAACAGGATATGTGATTGTGCAAGCAGCAGTAGTATCATACAGCATCCTTGAGGCCAGTGGTCTCCAAACTTTCTGATTGCACATCCATATCACTAAAAACTCTTGCGTGTGCATCCACTATGTATGTTTATTAATTTATAAATAATATATGTACTATTATACTAATTTATTAAGTACATACACAGGAGTAGAAGTTGAAAAAGTATGAGAGAAAAGTGAAATAAAGACTATTTTTAAATTATTTAAAATTTCATTTGTTAATTTTGCAAAATATGGTTTCTTCTTGCACCCAAATGGGTTGTCTTGGGGTGCATGCACCTCACTTTGGAGACCACTTTAGGGTGTAGTCTTGGAAAGAGTTTTAACTTGATGGGAACATGTATCAAAACTGACCAGTTTCTAATGACAGTTTCTTTTACTCTGTCAGTAGAGACTGTTGTCCTTAACTTTGTGCTGCATGACTCCGTTTTGGATCTCTGTTTATTCAGAGTTCTTACAAAATTTGGTCCAAGAGCTGTGAACTGTTTTGCTGTTTGTTTTCCTACAGTGTGCATTAAATGACAAAACAGGAGGTGTCAGCCTTAAGTGGTTTGCAGAAATGCAACGACTTTCCTGTTTGGAGGGGAGGGCATATCCCCTGTCAAACATAGGGATGTGTACTTGGCTTTAAAGATTAGTACCATTTTTCAACCGACTTGCCCTTTCTCAAATGTTCACTAAAGAATTGCAATATTTAGGCTCAGCCTCCAAGAAGAAAGTAATTAATTTTCTTGCTCTATCTTTCCTGATGTTTATTTTACTGAACTACAGTTGAGACCATATTTGCAGTGTGGCTGTGCTTAAATCTTGTAAACTGGCATAAATTTTTAATAGGATTTCATATTAGTTTTTAAAAATTGATGGGGCAAAAAAGACTGTACATGTGTTGGGCTGCATAAGGAAATCAAAATATACATCTTTTAAATGTCTCAAAAGGTGTCTCAAAGTATGTAAGTTTTCATGTGTTTGACTGGAGAGGCAAGATAGATGTTCTAGTAAAATATAACAGTGGTGATTTGGGATTTTTAATTGTCTATTTTACCTGTAAATCTCAGCTTGAAGGATCTCACACAAAAACATGGAAAATAAGTCATCTGAGAACTCTTGATGGTCCAGCTCTATCTGGAGAACAAAGTAGCTGGATTTCCTGTGTATTTACAATGCAGTGATACAACAGTGTTTCATCTGAGTGGTCTTCTCAATAGGTGATACTTCAGTCTTCAAAGAAGATTAAATAACTTCAATTT